CCGAAGACAACAGGGGGTCTTCGTCGAATAGGATCGTCAGTGAAGTTTGCCGCCCAGGCCATTGACACAACAGATTGCAAAACTACCTGTGGGACAAAACATGGAGCCCCCACTCGGGTATTCAGTCAACCAGTTTATCGACACGCTATCTGTATACAACTTGCTGCCTGTGCATACCCTAACCTCCACAAGAGAATAGGTCATTGGTTCCGTGCATACTTCGACCAGCCTGCCCTCTTACCTAGCAAAGCATGTGAGTTGTGGGTTCTTCTCTCTATTCAAGTGAAAGAGCAAGACATATAGACTTTTTCGTCGGTGAGGTTTCCGGCGAACGCGCAGATGCGTCAGGCACCTCAACCAAGTGGATCCTCTTTGTGGGCAGCGATGAACGAGACGCCGAAAGTACAATGGTCAGTTTGGGCTGCCCCTTATATGTGACTGGGGGGCAAACTTTCTGCCTGCCTAGATAGGCCTAGTTGTCTGAAGCGCCGCGCCTTCTCCACAACTTATCTCCCGCATCTCTCCATAACTGTCACCAGGCGCCAGAGCGTAGGAGGCGATCCCAGATTCAGCATCGTTCCGCACATGGTTGAAATATGCGCCCTGGGCATGCGAGCACGCCAAAAGGCCGTCGAGGGACTTTGCGCTGATGCCCGACGATGCGTGTGCGCTTGCTGCCTCCTTTGATGTGTTCTGCGTGAGATCCTGGATTGCATCACACCGCGGAGGTGGGTTCGTTTCCTTTGCGCAACGCACGGCCCTCAGGGGTTTGTTGAGGGAGGGGGGGGGGCGGTGCAGGATTAAATAGACACGGTGTCAGGCCTTTTCAGGGATTCCGCATCCCGTAAATTGTGCGACCGCGCAAGCCGTCCGCTCGGTATACGGTGTAGGAAAATACCCTTATAGAAAAAAGTACAGAGTATACAGAAGCTCGTAAAATACTGACGCAGATTTTTCGATGCGATTTCGAGCAGAAAGAATGGAGTCCATGAGGTTCAGAAGATCCCATCAGAGTAACATAATCCAAAGTGGTCTACTGATTTCTGAATCAGTATTTTTACGCAATCGGTTTAAATTACACCCAAGATGCGATACCTGTCCAAATGGCGCACCTACTTTTTTGATGACTTTGACGCCCATATAAATGAACCCATCTTATTGCAGAAAGAATAAGATACAGTTGCTTTCTAACATTGGTTTCGAGAGAAATTGTGTTTTTTTCCGAAATATGCGAGTGAACCTAGGTAAGATGCGGGTTTTTAAGAAAACTGCACGTCTGAAAAGTTTAGACACTCAAAATTTACTCAAATAAATTCGGAGCGAGGTAATCGATAAAGACAAGAGATGACCATTTCCGGCTCACTATTCATCGTCCAACTGCCTTGCTCAAAGCCAGATTTAGGTAAGGCAGACTAATTTCTGACCCTCCTCCTTCTGGCTGCTAAGTATTAGTAAGCCTGACGCTCTCCCATTTGAATCACGGGCTCATTGTCCGGTTGATTGCAATGGGAAATAGTAACTGTGTTTGACGCGCATTCACCCGTCAGGTTACAGGATACACGCTTCCCACTGAGCATTATACATAATCCCCAGAGTGCACAAAACATTCCACAGCTATCGCAACAGTCTAGCAGTACTAGGGGGCCCCATACGTTTAGACTACTAGCACTATTCTATTCTCCCGACGTTTCGAACTTATCCCCGAGAACATCATCAGACACGGAAGCGAGAAATGGCCTTGAACGCAGAGGATTTCTGCTGTTCAGCCGCGCAACTTTACTTCCGTCATGGTTCTTACTGCCTAGTTTCTTTGTGGTTAAAACGGTTCCTGGCATAATCAGCACAAGATCTTTAGGTGTGTCCGGCAGATACCCAAAATCAGTTCATACTGAGTAATCGCTCAAACACATTGCATGCACTTTCTTTCCAGCAAGCAGCTCTATGCAGAATCACCAATGTCGAACGGGAATATAACGGGGGGAGGGGGTTGGGGGGGGGTGGGGTTGGTCGGACAGACGGTTCTCACAACGGACTGTGCTAGAGAGGCACGGAGATCAGACTAACTAACGACAACCCCTTGTGGGCTTGCGCCGAGTCCGCCCGTGTGATAGCATACCTTACATCAGGACCTTCACGCACGCGTCAGCCCCTTATCCAATCACATCACCCGTTAGTTTACAGGCTCGGACTGGCGCATAAGAGAGGCCGACAGTGAGGAATCCAGCCCTGCGGAAAATCAGCGTATTCCCCATTATAGTAAGCCTGATACGCTAAGAGTTGTGACTTGGAAGGTCACCAACGGATAGGCTAACTTAAACCTTTCTCGCAACTGAGGGTCAGGCTGCAATGGCACCTGCCCAGGTTGATCTTTAAGGCACTCTTGCGCATGTGAGATCCCAGCCGCCCTTACAGATTAGGGGTAATGGAAATTGATTGTTCGCGGTACGCTCCCATCTCCCGTCGCCCTTACATTTTCCTTCAGTCGGAAGAAGGCTGAGGAAGGAGGAGAGGGGGTGCGGTAGGGTGCTGCTCAAGTCTGCCTCACTATAAAATAACCCATTCCGTGCGGAGAACGTAGGGCACTGTGTCCCTTACGACGGTGTCGATGTGGTGGATGGAACAGTTATTAAGTCATTTGATAATTTGAGGACGACATTATACTTACAAACAGATATTTGAACAGACTTATAGGTACAGTATGTGGGCTAACTCATGAAATGTCAACCAAATTTTCGAAATCCGTTTTCGTTTTGAAAAGATTAATTAAGTAGGGTTGTAAAACTAATCCCCACACAGCACAGTTCTACAATAAATCAGTTACTTCAGGATGTCAACTTTCGTACAACTTCTGTCCGGCCGCATGCAAAAACCCCACTCCGTAAAAAAGACCACTGATGTTACAGGCATTTTTCTCATTGATTTTCGATGCCCTTTCAAATCCAGCCATATTTCACGGAAAACATGCATAAAAATATTCATTCCTTGCGCATTCGGTAGAAAATGACGTCCTCTTCCTATTTTATGATCCAAAGAAGGGTATAGTTTGGTTTTAAAAGGTTTCTAATTGTGAGGCTTCTTAATACGCGAAATGACCGATCATAAAACGTCATTTCTCTGCATTTGCCAATGTGTCTTGTAAAGTTAACGATATGGCTAAAATCCACTGCTACGTTTTATGAACCACATATGGTCTCCTTGTAAGACCGTAAAGAAATGTATGGTTTTCCGTACCGGAAAATATACAGCTTGTAGTTTGGAAAGCCTGAATTCTAGTGTAACGGCAGGTCGTGTTCAAAATCATTCGGGAATTGGAAAAGTTTTTGTAAACCGAATTATACCCTTCCTTCGAGTAAGAGGTTGGAAGAAAACGTACTTTTCTACCGTAAGAGTAAAAGGATGAATAAGAATATGCATGCTTTTCATGGAATATAATCGGATGTTTAAGGGTATCGAAAATTAATGAGAAAAATGTATGCCACTTAAGTAGTCATTTTTTGCAGAGTATAGCGTTTGCAGTCAGCCGCTTCACACAAACACACACAACTGGATTAACTGTTGAGACAACTGCAACTGCCATGGAGTGACCACCTAGTGAGGACGGCCGAATAACGATTGCTCAAGCGACTCTTCTACGATGGTGCTGGTGTTGGGTGCTAGCCAACAAGACAGTCAAAAACGACTCTACAGGGACACTCTTCAGGACTTGGCAAAATCCTATTTCGTAGCCGTACCTGGTAGGGATTAGGGGATTAGGGTTAGGGCTAGGATTAGGAGTTAGGGGTTGGGGTTGGGGTTAGCGATTAGGGTTTAGGGTAGGGGGTTGAGGTCAGGAGTTAAGGTTAGGGGTTGGGCTGGGACTTTTCCACTGCAGGTACGGATACGAAATAAGATCTGACTCAGGATTTCATACATCAAAAGGAAAAAAGGGAACGGCGCGGATCCCATTTGGCGCGACGGCAAATGGGCCTGCCGTCACACCTTCACTGTTGACATTTATCCTTGGTGCCCATTCCCGATAGACTACGATCTAGTCTCCGTGTTGGTCCAGCGCATCTACTGCTTGGTGCATTTTAGGGGCACTAACGTAGTCATTACAACCATCACCACCGCTCTCTACCATCAGCCTGGAAGATCCCAACCTGTCTTCATTGTGATCGCGCATTCACCCCACGCACTGGCCTGCCTGGCCACTTGCGGAATCCATGGCACTAGGACCGGCGAACCAGTCGTTAATCCCCCCCCCCTCCACACACTAGCCGTATCCGACTCCACTGTCCTCACCGCCCACGCACATCCAACCACCGCATAGGCCTACTCGATCACATGCATATCTAGGACAATGGTCGCAGTTACAAGCTCAAACAAATACTTGAAGCCTGCTGGAAGGGCAAACAGTAAGGCAAGGGGAATCAACAGAACGGCTCGGCCATTCGCTTCCGAAGTGATCTACCAATTTATCCGAAGTGGTTACGCTGTTCGCAGTTGCACCAGGTCCGGTACCGAATGGCCGAGCACGCAATAGTAGTGAGGAGAAAAGACGTTAGCTTTCAGGCGGCGGCTCATTCGATGAAACCCGGCAATTCAGAAGACGAAAGTGCGATCGCTGGAACAAGAAATTTATTGGCCTCACATTTCGGATTCTCACTCGAAAGCATCATCAGAGACGGTTGCAGATAAGGGTTCAATCCTCAGACAGACGGGAACGACAGAAGAAACGAGGAAACTAGTAATATTTTAATTTCATGCGGCCGAAATCCTCACAGGCGGTGACAACCGTGTGAGCTGCGAGCTGCGCGAGTCATGGTTCCCAGGTCCTCAACCCATCAACAAGCGCAATGACCTCCTGTACCACATTCGGCGCTGAGATACTTCCTGGACAGTAGAATCGTTCACGTGGGTAGGGCGCGGACAGGCAACAATTCAAGTGGCAGCGGACCAAATTTCCGAGTGATCATCACGCCAACATCCTATATGGAGGATGAAATCGTGGCCATTAGCGACTAGGACGCAGACTGACAAGCTACCATTGCATCAATTATGACTCCCAGCAGTGATCGCAAGAACTCTCTGATGATGGGTTCGAGTAAGAATCTGAAACGCCAAGTCATCGAACTTCTTGCTTCAGTGGCCGCATCATCATCATCATCATCATCATCATCATCATCATCATCATCATCATCATCATCATCATCATCATCATCATCATCATCATCATCATCATCATCATCATCATCATCATCATCATCATCGACGTCGTCGTCGTCGTCGTCGTCGTCGTCGTCGTCGTCGCCTGAATACGTTTTTTTCCCGAAAGCACGACCAACGATGATGTCTCTATGCTGACTAGTGACGAAACGCAGGCAGACCTCCAGATCCTGTGCGGAAATCATGTTAGACTTAATAACAGTCCTGCTGGTTCCCTTTTTTGTACAAAAGTCTTGTGTCCTGATTCTTCAAGATTGCACCAGCGCGTGTCTGCTCGTAATTCTTCCTCTGTCCCTTGTTCATGAAAGCTGTATTTCAGAGGCACCGCGGACCTGATAATCAGGGACTCCCTCACGCATGTTTCCCCGTTCAAAAGTGCGTGTGCGTTCGACGTAAAAGTGCACCTGTTTCTGGCGCACTTATCTGCCATCAGTGGGACACTCAAAAGAGTCTGCTCTGTGACTTTAAACACCAACGGATTTCATGTAGGCGTGTGGCACGCTAGACCGGATTTTGCGCTGTGGTGTGTACTGCGTCTAATCACATCATCTTTCTGCGCATTGACTCGAAGTTACTAATAAAAAAGGAAGGAGGCAGTAAATTTGCCCTCCAGATAATCGTCCTCAAACCCAGTCATCGATTGGTTTCCTCTCGAGAATGAATCTGACGTTCCTTATGACTGTCCTTAAGGCAAACTTTTTTATTTCCCCAGGAAGTAATGTCTGAACTTAGAGTAACGCCTTCGACACGATCCGTCTCAGGTTCGGTCCGTGAGTCGGTGTTAATGATTGGGTTGAAATCAACTAGCTTTCGTGGAGTAGCCATGCCATGCCTACATTCAAACAACAGGTAGCCAGTAATATGAAAATGCGAACACATGACCCCTTCCGAAAGTGTGAGCAGCCATTTGTGATAGTCCTCGTCCGCCGAGGCAACTGTTCAAGCCGAGACATGGGTGAAGCCTAGACCTCCGCTGAGGACTCAATCACTCGATGTATTGATTTGGCGTCGGACTCATGTACGAGTTCGAGAGCTTGGAAGAACAAACAAAGGGCTCCAGTACACCATTAGTCACCGGCTTCCTCATTCAGCCGTCCTATAGACGCTACCGCCCGTCCACGCAAGTTCGTCACCTCTTGCGTTTTGTACTTTTAGAGACTACAGTCGCGAAGG